AAAGTGAATCGTATACCTAAAGACAGTGATGTTTGTTATAAGAATTCCATCTCAGTAGTTTTTCCAAAGGTTGATGATACCATAAACAAAACATGAAGGAACCTCACCCCAAGTCTGTCTTCTGCTTGGGGTGCGGTCACAGGAGGAGAGGGGGATTTGCCAACATCTGGAAGGTCAGGGAGATGGGCACAGGCAAAGAAGGGCTCCAGGTAGACGAGTAGTACCTGTGCCAGCCTGGCAGCCTCTCCCCCTACCCCTTCCACCGCGGGCCCTACCCGTACACCTGCCCACCTGCCCACCTACCCCCAGGAGAACCGCCTGGCACAGCACACCATCCAAGCCCTGCAGAGCGAGCTGGACAGCCTGCGTGCAGACAACATCAAGCTCTTCGAGAAGATCAAGTTCTTGCAGAGCTACCCAGGCCGTGTAAGTGCCCTCCCCAGTTTCAGCCCCAGGTGAACCAGGCAAGGAGAGAGGTCAACCAGGCCCTCCAGGGTGAGAGGGTCAGAGGCAGTGACCTGCCAGGAAGCACTGGGCCCAGAGGCGCCCAGAGGGCATCCAGCCTGCCCTGCCTGCTAGCTGTCCGCCCTGAGCTGGGGAGAGGCCCCCACAGAGGAGCCTTTGTGCAGGCTCATTCACCAGAACCAGCCAGGAGGTGGAGAGGTACAGCAAGAGGCAGGGCTCACAGGCCCCAGGTGACCCCCCTCCATGAAATGGGAGTGATCCACCAGCTGATCCTAGGATCTGGGGATTTAACTACAGGGCTCTTGAGCATGCAGGATAAGCCCTGGGGAATCCATATGTTTTAAAGTTACATTCTAAAAAAAAAAAAAAAAAAAAAAGCCAGAATTTGGTCCAATATCCCCCAAACCAATCAAGAAAACAGAATAAAACCCTGCTCACACTCCATTCTGGGCCTTGGCGGGCCCTCCCTGGCTTCTCTCAGCTCCCGGGCTTCACAGGGGACCCCCTCGTGGGAGGAAGCCCTTCTGTCACCCAGGGGAGACAGAGTGGCTGGTAGAAGCAGGAGGAGCAGTGACACTCCTGGGGGCCGCCTCCCTAGGACAAGACCTTCAGCCCCTGCTGGAGCCGCATTCAGGCCACCAGAGGGCGCCAGACTCCGCGCAAACTAACACATCGTACCCAGAGCCCGGCTGGGGCGGGGCGGAACCCCTCGGGTGCCTGCCTGCGCCCCCCAGCCACCCTGCACACTCCCGGACAACCCCTTACGGGCCCACTAGCCCGCGCTGCTCCCGCCCCGTCTGTGACGTACACTCCAGCCCCAGACCGGGCTTTAGTTCCTGGTACCGCCCGGAGTCCCAGCGAGTCCCAGCGGCCCGCGCCTGGTGGGAACTCCGGGAAGGGCAGTGAGAGCTCTGGCCGCGGCCCCCCTCATTCATGCTGCCACCCAGACCCCCTCCGTGCGCTGTGCTGATGGGGAAGCTGAGGCTCCCTGTGATCCTGCCAGTCCCAGAACGCCTTATCCCGCCTCATTCCTGCTGGGCCCTCAGTGACTGGTCTCTCCTGTTCCTACAGAGCGGCGGCAGTGATGACACGGAGCTGCGCTACTCCTCCCAGTACGAGGAGCGCCTGGACCCCTTCTCCTCCTTCAGCAAGAGGGTGCGTGAACCTGAGGACACTGCTTGCTGAGCAGGCCGTGGGCGGGCTACCGGGAAGCCTGGAGGACCCAGCGGCCCACAAGGCTTCCCCTCATGCCTCATGCCACCAGCCCTGGTCTGTTTACTCAGGCCCAGCCTCACCCTGCTCTCTGCCACACTGCCCCCCCCACACACACACACACCCACTCCCAGACCACCAGGGCAGCCTCCATGCCCACTGTGGTCTTGTGGAGGCCCAGGGTGCATCCCGGGCAGGCCGAGGGTGCCAGGAACATTTCATGGCTATTTGTGGGTGTGTGATAGTGAGTGGGCTAATCCCACATCCACGCTTGGGGGTTAGGCAGGCAAGCAAAGAGGCCCCCCAACCTCCCTGTGTCACATGACCTCCAAGAGGCCTCATCTCAGGTTGGGGAAGCCCTGCAGGTGAAGACTTCCCACAGCCAGAACCTGGGCCTCGGAAGAGGGCTGAGGGAGGCAGCTCTCCAGAGGGGTGCTCACACAGACATTGGGCGAGCCTAGGGTGCCCCACTGAGTGGAACGGGTGGAACTCATTGCCCTACTGAGTGGAATGGGTCACCAGGAAGGCCTCTGGCAGCTCCCTGGGGTCCCTCTCTGCAGCAAGCTGGGGTCTTTGGGGCCCCTTGGGGTTCTCCTCTCATCATCCCTCCCCCTTTAGGAGCGGCAGCGGAAGTACCTGAGCCTGAGCCCTTGGGACAAGGCCACCCTCAGCATGGTGAGTTCCCTCCTCTGTGCCCAGCTGGGACACACTGGAATGTCTGACTCTGGGCCTCCAAGGATACCTGCCCTCAGCCCAGGCTGGAGAAGCTCCAGGGACCCTGCCAAGAATGGCTGTGGGATCTAGAACAGGGACCCTACCCCCTACAGGACAGCTCCTCTGAAAGCATGGTTCTTGGTAGGTTCTGGAATTGTGCTGCAGGGGGCGCCATTTACTGGAATTCCTGTGGCGCAAGTTCCCAACCTACAGGGTGGAATTGAGACCTGCTGCCTGCCCTTCCTTCCTCTTGCTGCCCGGAGGGCCTCTCTGCAGGAACCTGGGGCAGCCCTTCAGGGGTGGGTGAGGCCTGCCCCATCCCCACACCACACTTTGTTGCTCCCAGGGGCGACTAGTTCTCTCCAATAAGATGGCGCGCACCATTGGCTTCTTCTACACACTCTTCCTGCATTGCTTGGTCTTCCTGGTGAGTATCCAGGCAGGCGGCCAAGGGTGCCTTCACCTTGCTTCCTGTATCTCCAAGGGCCTATTACTGTGGCCTGGCGTCCTGGGCCAACCCAAGCCACATTCTCGGCTACTGGCCACCTCTCTCCCCTCCAAGGGGCCAACAAGCCCACCCATCTGGCCCTGTGGCTGCAGCCCAGCCGCTCTGTGGGAAAGGCCTGGCTGACTCCATCCAACCCAGGGGCCCATCTGGGAAGGGTTTGGGAGAGGGAATGGCCCCTGTGGAAGCCGGAGGCAGGCTGGAAAGCAGGTCTGATTGACTCTACTAAGGGACAGCCAGGTGGGCTGCACAAGCAGGGATATCTTGAACCGAATCTCCTCAAGTGCAGAGTGACCGTCCAGTTGGGCACAGTGCGTGTACAGGCCTGGTGATGTCTGCAAGTCCACTGAGTCAGGGAGGGTAGGACATGCCCATGGAAGGCTCCAGCCTCAGGAACTCCCCTCCCCAGCGGGGCCACAGTCAAGATGGCCTTCACAGGGTTGCCCTGGGTTCCAGCTCTGACCCCAGGGCCCAGCAGGTCCTGGCCCTGCCTGTGGCACACACAGCGATATTAGGGACAGTATCTCCAGATCAGGGCCAGTCTGACCATGTGTGAAACAGGCGGGCACCGGGGCATCTCTGATGAGGCCCTCCTGCCCTGGGGCCTGGGACGTGAGAACCGTCCTGTGCCACCAGAAGGCCAGGCCCAGGGGCTGGAAGGGGACTGAGGAGGGGTGGCGAGTCAGGCAGAAGGCTCACTGTGTCTCCGCCCGGCCAGGTGCTTTACAAGCTGGCGTGGAGTGAGAGCATGGAGAGGGACTGTGCCACCTTCTGCGCGAAGAAGTGAGGATGTCACCCGAGTCCCACCACAGCCCTGCACTGAGCCCCCCAGCACCGCCACCCCCTGACCCCCTCCTCTGTTCCCCACGCCCAGCCCTCCACCATTGCCACCCATTCTGCCCCTGCCCCGCTCCCCAGCACCCGCCCTGTGTGTCACACGGGGGGGGGGGTCTCCATGCCCCCTAGACACACACACACACACACACACACACACACACACACTTCTCTCCTTTTTACCCTTGGTCTCAGCAAAGATTTCTATCCCTAACAGGTTCGCAGATCACCTACACAAGTTCCACGAGAATGACAATGGAGCAGCCGCCGGGGACCTGTGGCAGTGATGTCCCCAGGGCCTCCCTGGCACGACCATGATGGCTGCATCCCCCACCCCTTGCTTGTTCAGCTGCTTCTAATGATTTAGACTTCCCTAGAGAATTCCCCACAGCAACTGTCCTTGCCTTCCACCCACCAGTGCCAGGGGCTCCAGGTCCCCGTGGGCCCCCCGGAAGAGAATGTCAGCTACATCAGGCCCCCAGGTCCAGAAAGCCCCCAAGGCCCAGCCAGGCTGAGTCAAAACCCCCTGCAGCCCCATCTTAGGCTGCTGACCTGGCTTGGGACCCACCCACAGCCTGACCACTAGCCCTGGTGGCAGTCACCTCCCATCACCAGCTGTGATGCTGATTCTGGCCATTGTTAATCCAGTTGGGATTCCCGGGGCCTCTCTGTGCCAGATCTGGAATCCCCTAGGGCTCCCCTAGAATCTACCACCACCATCACCACCCCACCTCCCACCCTGCCGAGAGACAGACGGCCCTTCCTTACAGGCCAACAGGCTTTGAGTCCTGCCTTTGTCACCACCCCCACCCCACCCCAAGAAGAGGGGAAGCCCCAGAGGGCCTGGGATAGTTTCTGGTACCTCTTCCCAGCCTCTAGACCCACTGTGAGTTTGCTTTCTTCTTTAGCAAGATATTTTGGCTTCTAGGCAAGGACAGGTCTCCAGTGAGCCCTGTGCCCCAGGCTTTTCAGACCCAAGGACTGGTCTGAGGGGCCCAGGTGCTTCTCAGCCAAGGCAGAACTGGCCGTGGGCCATCCTAGGATGGCCACCTCGGGGCCACTGGCTGATCCTCCTCATAAGTTAGATTTGCGCTTGCATGTTTAGCTTTGCACATTTCAAATAAACACATGGTTGCAGCTATGCTGGTGCCCACTCTGTGACTCCAGGGGTACAGAAAGCTGGTGGGTGCCTATAGCAACATGCCTGGGAGCCCAGGCTGGACCTTTCAGCTGCTCTGCTGATGTGAGGCATGACCCCCAGCACACAGGAGGTCTCTTCCTTTTCCCACCCCCCAGGAATTCTGTGAGTGCATCCAGACCTTTGCTGAAACTCAAACCCAAAATGTCTTAGTTCTCTTGAGCAGATAAGCAACCCAATCCAAAGGAGAAATCTATTCCTTTAAAAAAAAAAAAACAAAACTATCAGGCTGCATTTGGATGTATGACATTGAATGAGTGATGACAGCTCCTGGGAAACCCCTCCTCCCCTTTCCAGGGTGCTGTGGAGCCATGTGCTCTATGTCCCTTTCCCTTGGGCCCCTGCTTTCCAGATACTGCAGAGCTCATGCCCACCAAGCCCCCTGAGTGCCAGCTTTGCGTGGGGACCCCCTGAGCCACCGGTAAGCCCTAGCCCAGCTCTACTCCCACAGGTTCCTTCCTACCCAGACCAAGGGGCTTCCTCTGGATTTGTGGTGGTTGGTGTTACCCCACTGGCCAGGTGGCCCTTGAGCCTGGCTCTACACCCAGCTCCCACCCCGCAGTCCACCAGGCCAGAGTCCCATGTACTATCCCTGTCTCCGTTTTAGTCCTAGTCCCTCTAGAGCTTGTACATCCAGGGACACCCACCCTCAGCACCCCTCATCATCTGCTCCATCAGAACTTCCTCCAACGTCCCAGAGGCTCCTGCCCTCAGGGACCCCAGATGAACCTGTCTTCCCTGGCTCTCATCCCTGTCCCCATGGCAGAGCTGGTCTTGCCCAATCACTGATACCCTCCACCCTCCTGCCACTTCCACATCTCCCACCAGTTCCTCCTTGTGGGTCAGAGTCAAACAACTGGCTCCTCTTCACTTCCTCCTCCCTGGGGATCAGATCTAGTGTCCTGCCCTCCCTGGCCAATGACAGCCCACCAGCAGAGCTCAGCCCACTACTCAGAACCAGGTTAGTCCACGGGGGCCATGCTCTCCCATCTCTCAGAAGGGTGGGGTCTGCAGCCAGGCCACCCACACACACTCCCACAGCTCTCCCGGCTTCATTCACAGACCTCCTGGTTCCCAGCCAGGAGTACAGGCCTCTGTGCCGCTCCAATCGATAGCTGGTCCACATCTAAGCTTTCATTAAGTGTCTGCTGGCCAGGTGCCGCTGAGAGGGCAGCTGGTCTGTGTGAGACGAGGTACCAGGACCTCAGATGAGACCCTCCTTGCTTTAGGACCCCTGAGGAGGGCAGCCCAGGGCTGGGAGGCAGGAAGTGAGGGCTCCTGGCTAGTCTCCACTGTCCCCGACCCACAGAAAGGCCGACCCTTTCCGTCCACAAGATTGGGATAAAAACCCTTCTCTGCCTGTCCTGCTTCCTGGGATATCAGAGGTGACAGGGCGTTGTGAAAGGTTCAAGGGCTCTCTGCAAAGGTCAGAGATCTCTAGGGGTGGAAGAGAACAGATGGAGGCACTCAGCTAGTGAGGAGACGGGGGCCCAGCACAGAACTGCCAGAGGTAGGCTGCAGAAGGTTGTGCAAGGGCGAGGAGAACTTATCTAACCACCTGTGAGGGCTGAGGGCTTGGGCCGGAGGCAAGGGGTCGGAGGGGAGGAGGAGTTCCGGGGCCCTCCCCGCCTCCCAGGAGCGAGGAGGAGGTCTGAAGTCTGAGCCGCCCTTCCGCTGCCCGGACCCCCTCATTGGCCTCCTGGAGGCCCCAGTTCGCCAGGGGTCAGTCCACAATTGCTCCGCAAAGACCAGCAGGAGCCTTTGTCTTCTCAACCAGAGTGCTCTCTGTCCTAACCTATGCCTTGGGTTTTGGGGCTGCAGAACCCAGCAGTGGTGAAGAAGCCAGCGCTGTGTCTCCCTCGCATCGGCCCCGTTTGACCTCTGAAGATCTCTCCGGGTGGAGACAGTCTCCCCATCCCTGTGAAGGTGCGTAGACGGGGCAGGGTTCGGGTCTTCCCAGCCCTGTAGCCCCTGGGCTATTTCGGGCGGGGGAAGCACCGAGGGGGGAGGGCGTGGCGCTCGCCCTCGGGATTTATGAGAACCAGACGTCGACTTCCCCGGTTGCGACATCTGGGCCTCCTCGAGGCTCCCATTGTTTCCACGGCGGAAGGTCCAAGACAGAGGCGGCCTCCGCCGGGCGCCCAACCCCGAGGGGCCCCCACACCCCCTGCACCCGGCTCTTCTCTTCGGGCCACCCACCCCGAAGAGAAGGTAGGAGGCAAAGCATGTATATATACAAACCCTCATATGTTTGTATGTTTTCCCCCGCGCTCCAGGGGCATGTTTTCGCGCTGGGGAGACTCGCCCCAAGAGGGGCGGCTGCAGGCCGGCTCCTGACCCCCCGGGCCCCAGCGCCCGGCCAGGCGCAGCCCCAGGGAAGCCGGCGGCAGCGGCGGGCGCGGCTCGGGCTCGGCGGAGGGCTGGGGGCGCGCCGGGGGCGGGGCCGGCGCGGCTCCAGGCGGGAGGGGGCGGGGCCCGCTGGGGGCGGGGCCGAGGCGGCGCGCGCCGCGCGGGCGGGGGGCCCGAGGGGAGCGGGCGGGGCGCGCGCGGCGCGGGGCTGGGCTCGCAGCGCGCGGGGCTCGGCCGCCGGGACCGCCGAGCCGGGGCCGCGCAGGGCCCGCGAGGAGCGCACGAGCCTTCGAGGTTGCGGACGAGGGAAGCCGGAGCCGCGGCCCACGCCGGCGCCCGCCGGGAGGGAGCCCGAACCCGCCGCGGGCCATGAGCCGCCGGGCCCCGGGAGCCGGGCCGCGGTCGGGGCAGCGCTCCGCCGGCGCCCCGGCCCGCCCGGTCGCAGCTGCGCGCCTGTAGGTACGGCCTGCTTGTCCTCAGCTCCCCGATCCGTCTCCCCAGACCCGGGCCGTCCCTGAGGGCGCGCGTGTGTGTGCGCGCGGCTGCCCCGGTCCGCGCGTGTCGTCTTTGTGTGCGCGGGTGGGAGGGAGCGCGACGGAGGGATGCGCCCCCGGCGGGGACCCACTCGCCGACCCCCACCCCGGGCCCGGCGGGAGTGGCGGGAGGGGCCGAGCCGCCTCCGGAGCAGCTGCGCCCCCGCCCCCTCCTCGGGCCCAGGGCCCACGGCCGGGCGAGCGCAGCCGGCCCCCTGGAGGAGGGGTCTCCGGCTGGGCCGCGTCGCGAGGGAGCCCGGGGCTCTAATCCGGGCTGCGGGGGCGGGGGGCGGGGGGCGGGCCAACCTGGCAGCCGGTGCGAGCCCCGGGAGGACCCTGTCCAGTCCGCGACCGCCGGGCCGGCACGCCCTCCGTTCGGCCCAGGCCGTCTTGCTCACGGTCCCCAGTTCGGCCCGCCCACCCCGGGAGCTCCCCGAGCCCGCCCTCGGTAGTGGGGAGGACGCTGTGGGTGCCCGAGGGGCCGGCGCCTTTAAGAAGGGGCGGGTTCGTGCCCTCCATTCAGGCCCTTGGGCCTCAGCCATTGAGGAGCCTGCGGGCCGCGCGGGGCCGGGACCGCGCCGGGACCGCGCCAGCCCCGCGCCAGCCCCGCGCCAGCCCCGCGCCAGCCCCGCGGGCCACGGCGGGCAGAGACTGGGGCCCGCCCCGCCCCCATCAGCCCACAAGGGAGGTCTTCAGAGGGAGAGGTCTGCAGTGACTGGGGTCCCCTAGGAACTGGCCAGGGCGTTGGGCAGCCAGCCTCAGGAGTAACTGAATGAATCTGTTACACCGACTGGGCGCTGGGGAAGACCTCAGGGCTGGGAGGCAAACCTGGCTGCACCCTGCCTCTGCGCTTTGAACCTCCCTCCGTATGTGCGTTGTACAGTGGAGATGGTGCTGCCTCCCTCGTGGCCGGGTGACCAGCAAGAGCTGTCCCCTCCAACACACTCCACACCGACCGTGGGGTGAGTGAGGGCAGGAGGAGGGAGGAGAGGTCTCCCTAAGAGACTTTGGCTGTGTCAGTGCCCGGAGTGATCTGAACACCGCCCCGGCCCCCCAAACTCTGCAACCACTTTAAGCAGATCTCTTCCTTCCTAACCTCCCTGTTCTGTCCAGGAGGCGATTGGTCAGTGGAGTGACCTAGAACCTTCCAGCTCTAGCAGCTTTGGAAGAGGTCTGGCAGTCCGGGCAGTGCTGTTAGGCTGGCATGAGTCAGGGAGTTTATAGGGGTCTGGAAGGCAGAGTTTCCCACAAATTGCTCCCTTCTACCCCTGTCTCCCCCTAGAGGGCATGCCTGATGGTGGGCAAGAGATTCTGAAGTGGGGTTGATTGAATGCTTCTAAGTAATTGAGGGTTTGTATATATACATGCTTTGCCTCCTACCTATCCTGGGAAATGTGTCTGAGTTTTCTAAACCCTTCCTCCCTCCGTAGTGGTCTTTTAGGGAGAATACACACACACACACATCCCCAAGAGCGGGCTTCCGCCAAGGCTGAGCATTTGGTTTTGAGTTGATGTGCCAAGCAAAGGGCGTCATGCTGTTTGTCATGTAACCTTCACAATAACCCTGTGGGTTTGGTACTATTATTACAGAGAAAGAAACAGATTCAGGGAAGTGAAATGACTTGGGCCAGAGTCACTCAACCAACAAGCCAGGCCTCTGAGCTACTTGTCTCTGACAAGAGCCTGGTCATTACCTCTTGCACTGTGTACCTATCCTGGATGGTACCCCTGGAATTGGGGTTTTAGATGCCATGGGCCTCCTGGCTGCTGTGCCCATGGGGTTCTGGTCCAGTCTGGGGGGCTGCTGCACTTCCTGCTCCTCATGGTCCACATGGGACCAAGGGGTGTTGGCAGCCTTGGGACCTTGGGAAAGTTTCTCTTCCCCAGTCACCTGGCTAGGTCTGTTTTCATGGCTGTGCTCCATCCCAAGGGAGAGTAGGTGTCCCTCCTTGTCCAGAGGAGGTTACGGCCCACACCTTTTTGGGCAGAGCAAAGCAGAGCATCAGTGTGTAGGAGTATAGCATCCTCTGGGTGCTGCAGGGTTTCCAGACACTTCCGGCCCCCAGTGTATAGGGCCCCCCTAGGGGTGGATATAACACCTGCTGGGATTCATGGTCTGGTGCTATTGTAAAAGGGCAGGAGAGTGAGGGTGGAGGCGGGGAAAGGACACAGTGGGTGTTTCCAAGGCCTCCACCGGCTCAGGGGCCTGGCAGCTGTCGGGGCAGAGGAGTAGGAGCTGGTGGGGCAATGCCAGGCTGGGTGCTGAGACTCCGAGGAGAGAACAAACAGGGGTTGGAGGAAAAGGATGTAATCGAACTTGGAAGTGGTGAGTTTGAGGTGCCTGGAGTTTAGCCAGGCTGGGAATTCAGTTGTTCAAAGACCCAAGGAAGCTTATAAAGCTTTATAAGCTTCCTGGGTACCCAGAGTTTGGGGATCCTCAGAACTGAAAGGAGGTACTGAGGTCTCAGGAGCCACTGGTATGTATGATGTCATGAAAAAGTCAGAAGGCAGACTGGTGGGCTGGGTAGTAGGAGTTGAGGGGGGTGTCTTGCAGATTTCAGGGGTTGAGCCAGGGAGGTTAGGGAAGGAGATGAATCCAGCCTAGGTGAGATCCATGGCACGGGGAGAGAGGGAGAGACTTCGAGCTGGAGAGGGGCTGCCTCCGTTCTATACCGGGGAGGGCAGGGCCAGTGCAGCTGGATCCATCCCAGCCTGCACTCCACCTATAGAGCTCATCCAGGAACTGTCCAGCACCAGGTGCTCCTGAAGGAGGATGGGCTTCCCTCCTAAGCCCCCAAGCCCCAGCATAGCTCCCTGTTCTGGGTCCCACTGCCTGCTTATCTGACTTCTGTATCCTCCAGGGCCCAGCTCACTCCCCTGCCCTCTAGCCTGTCAGAGTGCCCTCTCCCAGGGTGGGCATCTCGTTGCCTTTTCCTGAGGCAGGACTGGGTCCCCCACACACCCCCACCCAAGAATGCCCTCAGAGGAGAGCTCCACTGGGACAGGGCCCTGTTGTAAGTAGCATGCTGCAGAGAGAGACAGATCTGGACTCAGCTCCACCCTCCCCTCTTGCTCATTCTGTGGCCCGGAGCCATCCGCATGTCTCCTGACATATAGTAGAACCCAGTACAAATCCAGTAAATGATAGGCCAGTCGCCTCCCTTGCAGGAACCCCATTTCCTCATCTGTAAAATGGGCAAATCCTTTCTTCCTGGCAGGGAAGATGTGAGGGGAGAAGGGTTTGAAACAGGGACAAAGCTCAACTGGATGTGGGTTCTAGCAAAAGACCTGAGCCGCACTCAGAGCCTGTATTCGTTGGCAGTCAGAGGGGACAGTGGGAAACAGGGAGGCCAGGGAAGAGGCTTCTGTAACCATCTGCTCCGAGCAGTGAGAGGACGAGAGGGAATGGGTGCAGTACATTTATGAAATAGAAGCAGAGGAACTTTAAATTCTTAACCAATTGCTTACCAATTTTTTTTAAAAGATTTTATGTGTGAGCGGTCTCTATACCCAACCTGAGGCTAGAACTCACAACCCCGAGATCAAAAGTCACATGCTCTTCCAACTGAGCCAGCCAGGTGCCCCCAGCTCTCACATTTTTTAATTTTCTCCACTTTCCCTGTGTCAAAAGACCGGATGTGGAAGTGTGGGACACTCGGGTAGTGGGGTCCCTGAGGACCAGGGGTCTGCAGGTCCCAGAGCCAGCAGGGTTTGTCCAGGTTGGGGGCATCAGTGAAAACCCAGGGGCTGGCGGGAAGGGCGTCCACCCTCCCACAGTGGCAAAGGCTGGCAGTGTGTGAAAGGCACGGGGGAAGCCTGAGTGCAGAGCCGCTCCGGCTCTGACAGCCTCCTCCTAGCGCTGCTCCTCAGCATGGGCCTTGGACCAAGAAGCAGTCCGTGTGTGGGGGAGCAGGATGGTCCTCTTCACAGCTACAGAAGCTGATGCTCGGAAAAGCCAGGCCCACCTGAGTGTCCCCCCACACACACACACACATACACACTGCTGCCCATACAGGGCAAGAGTCCTGTCCCTGTCATTAACCG